GCAGCGTACATATGTCTAGAATGTTTGTCTTTCTACTGTTGGACATTAATTTGTAGCCTTGTTGGTTAGGAATTATGATTCGGACAAACTAACTCAGCTAATATAGTTAGAATGAGTTGCTCACTTGCTCTGGTTCTACTCCGTACAAGTCATGTAATTAAAACCGTGTTGATGAATTTGTAGTTATTTGTTGTTACTGCTTATTGATGCACTCATGCACCTTTTCAAATTTATATTAGTAATATAGCAATTGACACAAGCAGGCCTTTGATAAAACAGGAAATCAGAAACCGACTCCTAGCTTAACAGATAAATTAGTCAGACTCAATGATAGCTTATTTGCCTAAGTTGAGGTATCCAAATACAGTTGAGGAAATCAGAAACCGACTCTTAGCTTAACAAAATCTTTACCTCTGCTAATTCTCCATTGTTCGAGCAAGGCTTCTGGTATAGGAGGATACGCTGCATCATTTGGGTTTATGAGAAGTTGTCTGGTTATGTCAATGCTTCTGTTGACTTCATTTCTGCATTCTTTCAAATGGAAGTTACTGATTTACACAGTGGTGGTCGATTTCTATGAGAAATGAGATACCTTGGTGTAAAAATCAGAACCTTTGTTTGCTGTCTCGAGTCATAGAATCTCAAGCTAAGGAGCATTATCGGTGCAAAGGTTAGCATTTTTCAGAAACTACAGCACATAGCCTTTTTTATGCAAGGGTGTATTCCATCAAGTAATTTTATGACTATAACTGTGTTAATTTATCTTGCTAAAAGTATATTGCTCGCATCTTACAATTCACAGATACATTATGCTGCCAGGAAATTTTCGACGATCTTAAATTTTGCTCATTAATCACTACTTTTAATCTTCCCTTCTTACTGTAAACCATAGCTTCTTACCACTTGTGATTTCTTTTCAATGTTCAGAGCGCGGCATCTAAGCCAAGCAGTTACAGGACACCACACACCAGTGTTATTATGAATACTGCCTTTCCTAGTTTCAGTCTTTTTCAAGCAGACATTTTCGCGCCTTGTATGCATCACATTTTTCTGATCACAATCACAAACAGACCTTGTTTGCGCCTTGTACAAGTAGTTATAGAGTTATAGTACGAGTAGTTGAAACCCATTATAGCCCACTTATGAGTGTCCCACATTGGAGAAAGAGGAGAGATGGTTTCACTTTATCAGATAGAGGAGTACCTCCTACTATTGTCAATTGATTTTAGTATGGAAGCTCCAAAGCCTTGTTTGTGGACCAAACTCTCCTCCTCCTTGTTCAGGTTGCCCAAACCCATTTCATATTGTTTTCAAATTTAACATGGTATCAGAGCCCAGGTTATGGGTCTCTTCTAAACTGGGTATTTAATCAGGTAGAGGAGGAAGCTTTGCCCAGGCCCATTTCATATTGTTTCCAAATTAACATATAGAGTTATAATACGAGTAGTATTATTGTTTTGTATATTAAAATTAACAATTGACCTACCAACTGTACATATAAAAAGCATGATTTCCAAACAAGGTTAAACCATACTATGTATTTTGGAGTAATAATATATGGCAAAAGCTAATACATAAATTGATATCGCAAAGTGATATTTAGTATTTAACTAGTATTCCATGCTTAATTTGGTTCACGGGTATAATAATTTCCTTTTGATGTAAAGGGGTAAGGAGTATTTAATTAAATTTTTGTTATTGGCGGACTATATTAAATGGACTCTATATTTTTGTTATTGGCGGACTGTATTAAATCGACTCTTTATATTTTTGTTAATTGTTACCAAGTACTTCGTATCTTTTATAGACAAACAAAAATAGCCACAAGAGGTGAAAGGCATCACCTGAAACTTCCTCTAGCTTCCCCTTTAAGAATTTATTCAAATTTCAAAATATGGTAGACTACAAATATCATCAATGTTCCAACTTTCTTTTTCCAGTTTCAATAATGGAGCTATAGAATGCTAAAGTACACTGTAGTAGTAACTAGTAAATACTCCGTAGTGTAAAACTGTAGGTGGATGGTCGTACTATATAAGTCTACAAGTCCACTATTTTGCTGTATATATCACTACGTACAAAAGCTATCAATTAATATAATCTGAAAAAGTAGTGCATGCGTTGATGTAAACTCCATATTATCACTACAAAGACTATATACGTATTCAAGCATTTTTGCACATCTAAATGGTCACTAAAAGACAATCGATATGACTTTATAAGATAGTACTCCCTTCGGTTTTAAATACTTGCTTCATTTCTCCATGCGCGGAGTTTTAGGAGAAATTGGAAAAAGTAATAAAATATGGGAGTAGTGCGGTAGTTAGAAAATAAAAAATTGTAAAAAATAAAAGTAGTGGAAGAATTGGAGGAGAGAGAGAGTATTATGTTGGGTCCACCAAGTATGACAAATGAATTAAATATTGTAAAAGCTTTCTAAAAAAGGAAATGGAACAAGTATTTAAAAACGGTTAGAAAAGAAAAGTGAAACAAGTATTTAAAAACGGAGGGAGTATAACGTTTATGAAATAATTTGTACTCCGTACTTGTGTAAATAAAGTAGGAGTATAATTTCCATTCAAAGTATGAAGATTTCTTGTTTCTCCCCTTCTAGTAAAGGGGTTCAATAACATTGATTTTAACCCCAATTCCCAACCTTCTTTAATTAATTACAATGCCAATATACTCTTGAAATTAAATTATTCAATTCCCCACCATCTTATCAGTAATTTTTTTTTGGGGGAAAGGGTAGCTATCACTTAGCTCTAGGTAAATTATTGCTAACCAGTAATCATTCACTTTCTTCCCCATACTGCAGTAAATTGAAATTCTACTGAAGAATTTACAGAAAGTTTTGACATTATCCAAACATCTACTCTATTTATTACTCTCCCCATTTATTTTCTTTGACTTCTTTATCCTTTTTTTTTTTTGCACTATTTTTAATTCATCAATCAATAATTCAATATGGTCATTATCTTTGAAAACTAGTTAACTAAAAATCAATAATTCACTTTGATTACTAGGAGTACATACGAGTAGCTTTGATGATTTATATTTTTTCGGTAAGAAAAAAAAAATGAAATCAAAGAAAATATATTTTTCAATAGAGTATGGCACCAGCCGCTGACTCTCTCCTTATCGGTGAGAATGAACCTCCAACCTATTGAGAGCCTATGTAGTTGTGTGGTTAACTATAATTGAGGGTTAGGGCCTGTTCTCTTCCGTTGAAATTCAGTTCAGTTCAGTTCAATTCAGTTCAGCTCAGTTCAGTTCAGCTCTTAATTTACGTCTAATGATATTGCTAATGATATAAAGCCAAATTTCATTCTTTTAAGTTCTTATTACAACGACGACGACGACGACAACAACAACAACAATAATAATAACAATAATATTAATATTATTAATAATAATAATCAATAAGTAATAAATAATAATAATAATTATAATAATAATAATAATCAATAAATAATAATAATAATAATAATAATAATAATAATAACAATAATAATTGAAATAATAATACTAATAATAATAATCAATAAATAATAATAATAATCATCAATAAATAAATAATAATAATAATAATCTAATATATATAAATAAAGTAGGCATTTTTGGAGAGCATTGGGAGCGCCACATAAGAAAAGGTATATTTTCGATCAATCAAAAATTAGATTTTTATTTTATTTTAGAATTAAAAAAAACACTCACCACCCAAACAAAAGTGACGAATGAAATTTTAAATTTTTGCCACTTAAGTAAAAACGACGAATAGTAATTTATTAGGATTTTAATTATTTAAGAACACTAAATTTTATCATTTTTATTTGTTACAAAACTAAAAATTATCTTTAGATATTAGGATTTATATTATTTAAAAAAATAAAAATTATATTTTGATATTTAAAAAATATAAACTATCATTTGATGTTAATGGTTTTATGTAAATATCTGATGATATGATACTTTCATACAAAATTTTAAAACTTATAATGCAAGAAAAAAATTAAGAGATCACCACAAAAATATTTATATACAAAATGTATATTAAAATTCGTGCATTGCACGCCACATAAGCAAAAGTAATATTTCGACCAATGAAAAATTAGATTTATAATTAATTTAGAATTTTAATATTCAGTCGCCATTTAAGAAAAATTTAACAAATGAAATTTGAGAATTGAAAACAAAAAATAGTAATTTAAGATTTAAATTATAAAAAAAAAACAAAATTATATTTTATATTATCTTTTACATTAGGATTTATATTATTTTTACAAATAATTAGAAATTAAAAAACGTGCATCGCACGGGCTTACATCTAGTGACAATAATAATAATAATAATATTATTAATAATATTATTATTATTAATATTAATAATATGTACATTTGTATATACACATATGTATAGTAATAAATAATCAATAAATAATCAAAGATCACTAATCCGTAGTTAAAAATCACTAATTAATAAGTTCAGTTCAGCTCAGTTCAGTTCAGCTGAGTTCAGTCAATCGGAACAGGCCCTTACTTTATTAGTGTTGTAAGAGTTTTCGTTATTGTTACACTGTATAATTTATTCGATCAGTGTTTACAATGTTTATTTCGTCAATATTATAGTGTTATAAAAACTTTCTCAATTAGTATTAACGACCACATGATGCAAGACAGCCGTAAATAAAATACGTTGTTTACTCAATTTGAGAATTGTGTTACAGTATTTAAAAGTCATGTACAAAGTATCAAGTAAAAAAAAATTCCTTGAAATATGGCGGACTTTTGCATGCATAATTGGCGCGAATTCTTACTAATATCTCATTGCAACATCACATCCTTCTCTCTGAACTCACCTACCTGCATTTATTTATCTCTCACCTCAATTCCATCACCCTTTTTTTTTTGTTAGGATATAATTAAGTTAAATTAAGATATATTTTGTGAATATGTAGTTTTGGCAAGTTAAGTTAATGTTGTAAGCCTATATATATGCGTTTAATGGTAAAGACTCATTAAGCCATTTTCTCTTATTTTTCATGTTGACTTAATGTGGTATCAAGAGCCCTCTAAATTAGAGAATTCTTTTTACGTTTTTTTTCTTTTCCCAGTTCTTCCCAAACACAATCCCTATTTTCTGTTCTTAATTCGTTTTCCTAGTTCGCGTTCTTGATTTTTGATTTTTTTAACTCAGTACAATTCTTCCTTCTTTGTAAGTATAAAATTTAATTCCTCTGTTTCAAAAAATTTTCCATTTTTCCAAGAAATAAATAAAAAATGGAGTATTTACCAGTAGGGAAGAGAACAAGGAGTCAAAGAGCAAAATTGTTAATGGAGCAAAACAAAAGGGCTCGTTTGGCTGCTAAAAGGGAGTGGAAGAAGAAAAAAGATGGAATTTTTGAGGGTAAAATTGGAATTAATGATGAAAAATTGATGGAGGGTAGTGAAGCTATGGTGATTGATGAAGAAGAATTTTTAAAAGGGGTTCATAAATTTAATGAATCAGAGAAGAATTCACAAATTCATGACTTGGGTTGTGTTAAAAAAGAAGTTTTTGATGATGATCATGGAAAAGGGGTTATGATGATGGATGATGTGAATGATGGTGAAAGTGATGATTCTTTGAAAATTTTGGGAGAAAGATGGAATCCTCTTGGGTTGGATTGTGATAATGATGATGATGATGATGTTGAGGATGTGCATGATGATGGATGTCATCCTTTGGATGTGAAAATTAGCCATGATGATGATGAAATGAAGGGAGATGAAGTTAGGGAAGGTGGGAATTGTGAGGAAAAAGATGATGATTTTGAGGGTTTATCAAGTGAAGAAGATGATGTTGAAATGGACAAGGATTTTGTTGGGAAGGAAGATGAATCTTCTAGTTCTTCTGATGAGTATTCAAGCTCAGAGTGTTCTGTTATAGAAGTTGATGAAAATGATGATGTTCTTCTTCATTATTATGATGATGATGATGATGGGATTGATGAATTGAGTGATAATGATGATGATGACAAAAGAAAAGATAGAAATTGTGATAGTGAGTTAAAAAAGAGTGTTTCAATTGAAAAGGAGGAAGAGGAAGTTGGGAAGATTAAGGGTCAAGTGAGTGGTGAAATGAGGAAGCGAGGGAGGCCCCGGAAGTACAACAACACGGCCGAAGCCGAGGCCAAGGTTGAATCTCTACCAATGAACAAGAGTGGTAAGAACACGGCTGAGGTTGAATATCAACCAATGAACAAGAATGTTAAGAATAGGGTCGAGTTGGAGTCTCCATCTATTAAGAATAGAGTTAAGAAGTCTACTAAAGATAATGAGCTTCAGATTAGTATCTTGAATTCGATTTTAGAGGGGAGAGATAAAGGAATAGATGAGAATTTGGCTGATACAAGTGATTATTATCTTCCATTGAAGTTCAAATTTGGTGTTGAGAAGTTGGTTGTGCATGAAAAATCAGAAGATGAGTTAGAAATTGAAAGTTTGTTCAATGATCTTGATTATTCTCTTCGAGCTTGCAATATTGGTGCTGATAAATCTACAGTGGTAAGGTTTTTAAAATTATTTTACGTCTTTAATTTCATATTTAGCCATTTTTAAAGTTCAGAAATGATCATATTCATTAAAACTATACATTTTATGAGATGAATACTTAAAATTCTGGTTGGTTGTGCAACTTATGCATTGATGATTGCTGTAGAATTTTGAACAATGATGGCTTTGTCGCTTTGATGGACTAGGATATTATTATTTTTTTGTTAAAATTTTTAAATGTGATTTTTGAGTAGTTGTGGAAATATGATTTAGTGTTGCAAATAAAGGATTTTATTTGATGGGAATATAGCTTTGTTGCTCAAATGTGGTGTTTTTGAGCACTTGGTTTTTCTTTGAATTTCAAGAGCTTAGTGCTGTGGTATAGCGGTTGAGCATTCTGTTCTGCTGTATTGCTATATGTTGTATCAGATTCACTCAGAAAGTAGTTTGTATTTGGATTGCAGAAGGTAAAGTTTTAGGTGCCCTATCACTGCTGTATACTTGTACCTGTTGTTTGCATAAGGAAGCTAGTCTCTTTCCTTTCGCCTTCCTCATCTTGTATTAGGTAAGCTTACCGTGTTCAAAAGTTTGGACATTATCTCAAGGGATGCAGGTGGAGAGGGAAATGAGGCGGTTTTCATGTTGTGAATGAGATTTAAATTTGTCTAAGCTTGAATATTATCAGAACTTTCTGTTGTTCATACGATATTGGTTAAGCTTAAGCATCTTATGTGTGCTTGACTTTCTTTTTTCAATCACTATCAAGCTTTAGGTCAATTTGGTTAAGCATCTTGTGTGTCCATTTGCGCTGCATATGAGTGTATTTTTACATGTCTTAAACACAAAGTCTGCAACCTGTCCTGCAGTACAACAATAATGTTGACAGTGAAGATGTTCCTTCCAATGATGCCATTTCGCAAGAGGAGCTTTGTGCTAAAGGGAAGCATTATCTCATCCACGACGATGAAATTGGAGTGATTTGCAAATTCTGCTCGTATGTACACTTGGAGATAAAACATGTTATGCCAGATTTTGTAAGTTTGGCATATATTCAAGCTCTTATTATTAGATTGCTGTTGATAATGTACAGTGTTGTATAATCAATCAGTTTTCTCTTACATTTCCATTCAAAAATGTTTATGATGTCGAATATTTTGGTTTTGTATGTAAAAGAACAAGGATCCATTTGGAAGGGGGAACAGAAGAGACTATGGACGGTTCATGTATGATAATAGCATGGCCTGTGATGGGTTTCAGTTTCAGGACTCTAGCTATGATCGTCAAGGTGATCATTTTAGCCCCTCTGATGATATTCAAGGCACAGTGTGGGACCTCGTCCCTGGGGTTAAGAGGAGTTTGTACCCTCACCAGCGCGATGGGTTTGAGTTCATCTGGAAGAACATTGCTGGAGGGATAAAGATTGATGAACTTGTCGAGCCTACTGCTGCATCTGGTTTGGGTGGGTGTATCATATGCCATGCTCCTGGGACTGGAAAGACCCGTCTAGCTGTTGTTTTCGTTCAATCTTTCATGAAGCAATACCAAATGGCAAACCCTCTTATCATTGCGCCTTGTGTCATGCTCCGAGCTTGGGAAGAAGAGTTTGCAAGATGGAAAGTTGATATCCCCTTTTTCAATTTAAATGAGAACGAGTTGTCTGGGAAAGAGGACCCTGAAATCCTCACATACGCCAGGGATATCAAAAATGACAAGACAATTCGATTTATTAAGCTGTCAACTTGGGCCTTAGGGAAGGGCGTTCTGGGTGTTAGCTACACGCTCTTTGGAAAACTTGCTGGTGAGGAGGGCACTAATAAGGAGGTTAGGGAAATTCTTCTTACAAAACCTGGTATTCTAGTGCTGGATGAAGGGCATATTCCTAGGAATGAGAAAAGTAACATATGGAATGTACTGTCTCAGATATCCACAAAGAGACGGGTGATCTTATCTGGAACCCCGTTTCAGAACAACTTTGAGGAACTTCATAACACAATTGCCTTGGTCAGAGAAGAGATTGGATCTCCGATTCTGTCAGCATATTATGAACAAGATGATAGAAGAATCGAAGAGTTGAAGAAAAGGATCACACCTTTTGTGCATGTCCACAAGGGGGAGATATTAAGAGAGAGACTTAAGGGGCTATTCCATTCACTGGTCATGCTAAAACCCTCTAATCTTCAGAAGAGGTGTTTTCAACACTTGTCTGGGAGGAGATTAAACAGATTTTTATATGATAATTTGGTCTCAATAACTTCCGTTCACCCTTCAATCTTTTGTGATGAGAATGTCAAGACACCTAATTTTGTCAATGATGCACTCATGGATCTTTTAAAGAAGCACATAACAGACCTAGATGCTGGGGTAAAAACCCGGTTCCTTGTTGAGCTCATCAAGCTGAGCAAGGGAGAGAAAGTGCTTGTGTTTGGCCAGTATATACCTCCCTTGAACTTCATAGCAGATTTGCTAAAAGCTGCTTTTGGTTGGAACATGGGGAGTGAATTGCTTTATATGCATGGGAAGCAAGACATGAAGGAGAGACAATCTATGATACGGCTTTTTAATGATCCTGGAAGTGAAGCTCGGGTTCTTCTGGCTTCAATAAAGGCATGTGGTGAAGGGATACATCTTGTGGGTGCCTCGAGGGTAGTTTTACTTGATGTTGTCTGGAATCCCTCAGTGGAAAGGCAAGCAATAAGCAGAGCTTATAGGCTTGGCCAAGAAAGAGATGTATTTGTTTATCACTTGATCACCTCAGAGACTCGGGAAGAAGATAAGTATCAGCGGCAGGCAACAAAGGAGCGTTTATCAGAGCTAATGTTTTCTTCAGAGGAAAGCGTGGAGAAAGTGAATACAAGTTCGAGGATTTCAGAAGACCGTGTGCTGGAAGAAATGATTCTTCATGAAAAGACGAAGCCCATGTTTGCCAAAGTAATATACCATCCAAAAGCTGATAATCTGATTGAAAGCTTTAGTATGGATTCCTGACCTTGTAGCATGGTTCAGATGGTAGTTAGTCACTTAGATATCAGTTAGATAATATAGGATTCTAACTTTCCTGACTTCCAGGTACTTTGGTGTTTGATTGTATTTTGTGTTTTTGTCCAATGCCTGGGTTTCCAGAACTGAGCCTGAACAACTGTAAGTGTGCAATTTTTTGGCTTCAAATTATGTAATCAGGACTTTCTAACAGCACTTCTCTGCAAATCCACAAAATTGAAACTGTTATTAGATACCTGTTACATAATTCTACTAAGCAGGCCCCAGGCCGTGAATTCTGAAGGGAAGTAACCTTGTTTCTGCTTCAGATAGAAGCACCTATACGAAGATTATCCCTCTCGGGATGACATTTTTTAGCAATCAATTAACCACATTTAAGGGATAAAAAGGATGTGTTGGGGTAGCTCTATCAGCGTAAGGCTGTTCAGGATTTATCTCATATCTGAATATTTTGGGTTAAATATGCATAACAGTGGTTTATACTAATATTTTTCATTAATCTTCTGTGGGACTTTTGGGTATCCTGTGTAATTAATTTAACCCAACAGCACTTGACTTTTGGGTATCCTGTGTAATTAATTTAACCCAACAGCACTTGCCGAATACAAGTCGATTGCTTCATTTGATTGGAAGAGAAGCCGTCAACAAGAAGGCAATTCATGATGAGGCCTTTTCTTTTATCATCCTTATAAGAGGCTCAGGTCAATAAAAGGCATATTGTAAAGGATCACTCTTCAAGAGTAGTCCAGCTTGATGATAATACATTACTTACCAGCTAAAAGTTGACAGTTTGATTGAAAGCTTTGATTTTTCCTGTAATAAACTAAAGAATGAATATACAAGTAAAGCTTATATGCTACTCCCTACGAAGTATATTTTTGATGCTGAATCAGACATAAAAAAGACTTGATGCTGGAATAAATTGAATAGACAGGCAAATTTTTTACATGTTGACGCAGGCTATATGGATAAATGATATATAGCTGCTGTTCCCGAACAATGATCATACACCAACTATCTAGTAAAAGCTACAACTACTACAAAAATGATGGCCTAGCCTTCAGCACCTTCGGTGCCATTTCCAGAACATCACTAATATTCAGCTATGTACATTTTGGTTTACGAGCTACGAAGATTGAGATTTGACCTTTTTGATCATCTACATCTGCTTTTACTGATTGTAGTAAAAAGCAGTTCTCATTCTCCTTTCTAGTAGGGAGGCGAAGTATGAAAATCAAACAGCATTTGATAAGCAATTATATCAATTCGGGAATTGAATTCTGATCCTCCAGAAATTTCAAGTGCTGGTCTCTTGTTTTTTAATGAGGGTTTAATTAGACACATTGAAGCGATGTTTTACTGTCGATTCCTTTATGCATCCTTGTTTGAACAGCTTTCACAGCAGCCACTCGCGCTGCATTAGCTGCTCTATTAGCAGCTGCTACAGCTTTGTTCACCCTGTTATCTACTGATTTCACCTTATATGCTCTCTCAGATGCTTGCCTTGCTTTCTGCATACAGAATAAGTGCAGAAAATTCAGATACTGATGGTTATATTTTCCAAAGTTCATCTCCTTATATTAAGATTATGGCCCAATATTACTAAAAACCTAATATTATAGTTATTTTTGTAGTTCTATTCTAATTAATCAATCTTTATTAGTGGGAAAGTCAATCACATACCTTTCATTAATCTCGGACATACTAATTAACTATACATGACTAGTTGACTACTATACCCAGACGAAGGGAGTATAATTAGACTGCAGTAGCACTTGTTTGTGGTCAACCATGCATAGACACCAAGACTAAAAATTCAACAATATTTTCATATACTGGAGAAGTAGAGCGTTCTTTACCTGGATAGCAGTAGAAACTTTGCAAGGGTAAGCTGAAAAGGGGGAATCAGGCAGTTGAGTTTGACAGCTAGCCTTGACAAGAAGCCCATTTTGCCAGTAACCAGATTGAGCTTCCCATTTTCTGAAAGTGTAAACACCTAGCCCATGCCTTCTGCCCTCATGCCAGGACCCCTCATATTGGTGTCCATTACCAAATTTGTAAACTCCAAAACCATGCATCTTATCAGCAAAGTATTCACCAGCGTACAAATCTCCATTTCTGCAAAATGAGTATGAATATGAGCTTAGCCTTTTGCTGGGATTAGAAAGCAACACTAAATCATTGAAGTTCACAACCTCTGAGGTTTGTACAATGATATTTTTCCTGACAGATAACAATCCAGCAAATTCCACGCAACACAAACTATTTAATTTTAGAACAATAGTGAATAGTGTATTATTAATCCATTGAGTCTTGTTTACAAACAGGTAGTACACGTAGAGGTCATTCAGTGAATTAAATGTAGCATAACATATAAGTTTCAATGTCTCAATTGTCTACTACATCTTTTGGTAACCACACCGAAACACGATCAAAATAACCCCATGATATGTTTCTGCTGTCAACTCCATATATACAGCCAAACCTAGGAAATTCTCCCTCACTTGCTAGTTAGCTAAAGACCAATAAAGAAAGTAGTTAAAGGATTACTAAAGAAGAAACACTTTTCTTAGAAGGCTCGTACAACAACTAGCTTGTCAAAAAAATTATAGATTATGAATCTAGTAGCTTATTCAGCAAATAAGCAACAGAGAAGTTGCTAACAACTACCCTTAAATTCTAAAAATCTGCTTCACCAACCAAATCATCCAGACAACGAAAGTAGTTAAAACATAAATTAGACAAACTTGTCTCATATTGATTCTTCATTTCAACCTAAAATACTCAGCCCCAATGTAACAACACCCGACACAATGCGCATTAACATCAAACACTTCCTTTTCAAAAAAGAAAAAAGAAATAAAGTGCATAAACCTCATCAATACACTCAAATGACTCAAGTCTGAAGCCTCAATACGACAACACCTCAAAGAGGCTTCTACCACTACCCATGGCAAGGTAGGATGCATTGGATACTCGACTATGCGTGACCTTAATTGTATAATAACCGATAAACTTCCTACAATTGACCCACACAATGCATGTATGCTACTTTACAATAAGCAAGAATATGATAAGCTAATTGATTTACTCTATAATAGTCCAATCCAAACCCAAATAATAGTACACTAATAATGGACATAAACACCAACAAACAACAATGTAACACATGAAACTTCAAACTATAGAGAAAATAACACAAAACATTAAGCAACATAACTAAAACCAAACAAAATACAAGCAATAAAGCTAAATTCAACCAAAAAATTACCTATATTGGTAAAAACCAAATCCATGCTTAACACCCCACTTGAATTCACCAACATACTTACTACCATCTTGAGAAGAATAAATCCCACAACCATGAGATTGACCATTAGACCATTCACCTTGATAAACATCCCCTGTAAAAAACCTATAAATCCCAATTCCATGCCTTAATCCATTCCTATATTGACCCCTATATCTACTCCCTTTTGCCCATGTTTCAACTCCATAACCATCATACTTCCCATCTACCCAATCACCCTCAAATTTCCCACACAAATAATAGTGGTAGACCCCACTTCCTGAACACTTACCCTTATGAAATTCACCCTCATAAACATCTCCATTGCTAAAACCCTTTACACTAAATCCTGAATTTAGGGTTTTCTCCCATTTGGGGTTTGACCCAATTGTCCAAACAACTGGATTTGAGGAATTTAGGGTTTGATTTTTTACAGAAAGTTGGAATTGTGGGGTAAAAATTCTGGGTTGTGGGATGTGGGGTAAAGCTAAAGCTAGAACAAGAACAGCAAAAAAAGCAAATACCCAGATGAAATCGATTGAGTTAGAGATGAGAATGTAGAGAGAAGAGAGAGAAAGTAGGATTATAAAAAGATACAGAATTAGGGTTCTTTGGATCTTGTTGGTTGTATGGCTTAATCTTTGATAAAGATGAAAGGCCAAATCTTTTGGGAATGTTATTGAATCCATTAAAGAGCTCTTTAGTGTTCTTTGATTGGTTGATTGTAAAGTAGTGGAAGTTTTGCTCATCAACTAAGTCACAAATTTGGGATTTTTCTGCTCATTTTTTGGGAATTTGATTTGTTGGATTTGAAGGAGATGAAAAATGGTGGGTATTATTATTAATTTATTTTGGGAAATTGTTGGATTTTAGGTTAGTTGATGGATTTAGTTATCTGTTGGTGATTTTGCAAAGCAAAGTCAAGTTGCTCAACTCTCTTATATGAAAAGGTTATGGGATGGGATGGGATGGGATGGGATGGGATGGTTGAGCTTATGGGTATGCAAGTGGGTCCATAATTTGAGAGAGACATCATATCTATATTTTAATCCTCAAAATTAGAATTTTAATCTTAATCTTAATTTATTTTATCTTGGTTATATAATCATAATCTTATTCCATATTTTAATACAATAATATCTTTGTTGTAGAATAGATAAATTATAAAAGGGTCAATGTATTAATGAGTTTGTATGTGTTGGCAAATAGAAATGATGTAATTTGGATATGTTCAATTATTGTTAATTAACGTATGATGTGTATTGTATATGGTTTGAAGAATCTCAAATAGAGTGTTGATAGTATATGACAGGTGCAATTATTGACATAAATATTATACTAATAACCGCAAGAAGTGTTGAAATTTGAAAACTACTATAGTATAATATATTATACTCGTATATTTTATCCTGTAATCAAGGCCAAATATATTTGATAATTAATATCCTTATTTCTCTTATAAAAACAGTACTATGCATAAAGAAACTTGAAGAAGAATGATTCATTAAACTTATCGAATGATTCATTAAACTTATCTCTCCAACCCAAACAACATAGATGGATTGAACTTTGGTTCACATTGATCTGGTACAACTGATTCAGCAAAAAGACTTGCGTTGGTCCACAATAATATTATTGTGGACCCGAGAGTTATACACACGCAAATAACATTATATTGAACCTAGTGACCCTTATTTTAAATATAGTAACCTTATTTTTAACATAGTAACCTTTATTATAACATGTGTAATGTTTAACATTATTGTGTACTTGAATACGACGTTATGACCCTAATTTTAACATAGTGACAATTATTATTCATATTGACCAGTGTATATAAATATTTCATTGAATAGCCAATATATTACCAAAATGACTTTTATTTCAACATAGTGACTTTATTTTTATTATAGTGACTTTTTTTTTTAATTATTATTATTAA